CCACAATTCTTGAAGCACTTTTGGACAGTTTCACTTTGCTTACAGCATTCCAAGCTGCTTACAGCATTCCAAGCTGCTGAGAGTCCATGCACAGCGTCAATGACGCTGAGCTTCTTGGAGAAATCGCTGACTTCATCGCATTCATCCGTGCGTGAAATGAGGATTTTGAGCAAAACGATTTCGGTAACACTCTTAAGATCGTTCTCTCTCCGTGGAAACTGCGATGTGACCTTGACAGGCAAGAGACGGGCCAACACGGAAATAAATAGAGGAAGAAAATAAACCTGAGACCTTTTTTCCGGTCGGTTTTCTGGCCGGATTAAAGAGTATCCAGCACAGATAGGTCTGCAAATCCTTGTCCGCTGGCCGCGTTAGACAGGTGGCCGGATGAAACAGGTTATTTTAACGTTGAGCCTATGGAGCTAACGATTGGGACTGAGGACTTCTGGCCGCGAATCGGAGGTGGCCGAATCCACAGGTTTCCCTGTACCACTTTTTCCTTTGCAATCGCAATTTTTGAAGAAAAATTCTGCGTATCAGGAGTGTGGGAAAAAAATTTAGAAGCCCAGATTTTCAGAGTTTGTGGGCTGAAGCCAAATTTGAAGGGAGAGCTTCACGTCTGGTGCCCTCCCCGGCCTCACCACCCCGTATAGTGACTCCAGATTAAATTTGCGCACCTGTTGCATTTGGTCCAATCAGATGCGGCTGCAAGCAGTTCCCTCACGTGGGAGAGCATTGCAACATCGAAGTTTCATGGCGGCAGCCTTCGTGGTCGGGATCGGGCTCTCCTGAGCCTCGGCCGGCCGACGCGGGAGGAGGAAGGCGTAGGGGCGCTCGCCTTGGCCCGGGGCCTCGGGGGACATGCGAGTCTCACGTGGGTCGCATTGTGCGTTTCCAAGGTGTCAGAACAACAAGGGGAAGTGCCCGCAACTCTCGTTCTTCAGCTTTCCCAAGGATCCCGAAAGGTTCGTCGGCCGAGGCCTAACGTTAGGCTCCCGAAGACGGTTAGGCTAAGCCTTCGTTAGGCTAGGCCTACCGATTGTCCTCGGACAGTGAATTGCTACCTCTTCACTGGAACACCTTGAAATATGCTTGCTCGCCCCTAGTTTGTCCACGGATGCTCACTCGGAAACTAATGTTCCCGTTGATCACTCATGAAATTATATGCGCATTCCTAGGGATGATTGTATATGGGATGATTCCCACACATTTCTTGTTTAGAAATGGATTGGTTTTACATCGTTTGGCAAGATAACTAGCGAAAGTATCACTTAGTCTGTTTAACCCTAAGAAGTTCTTGAGAAGGTTTTTATGGGAGTACCAAGTTAACTCTGAAATATTCTGAGTGAGGACAATCTGAAATTGTTCTGCTTTTTTTCATGGTCACAAATATCATATAGGCTACATTTTGGAAATTAAGATCATCATTTTGAAGTTGATGGGTGATAGCAAATAGTTATTCTCCTGCAGCTTTGGAACTGTAATCTCCATAGTTATTAATGTGGTGTAACTAAGAAGTTTCATGGATGAATGTAATTTTTATTTCATGAGGAGAGTATGCCTAAGGCCAGTCCTAGCACTATTGTATGTATGATTGCCTTGAACCAGTGAGCTACCAGGCTCTAGTGCTATATTTTGTTCCTATTCAGGTTGAGAAAGTGGGCCCTTGCAGCTGAAAGGCAAGACCTCCTGCAGAAAGATCCCTTGCATGTGCACAAGAACTGCACATTGTGTGCGCTACACTTTGAGGACCGCATGTTCATGAACATTTATGAGAGGTGTGTTACTTATGACTGTACTGAGAAATCTAATTTACTTATATATAAGAGCCATGGTGCTCATAAAAAGCCATGAAATCATTCTGATTTGAAACAGGTTTTCATCCAAGTAATAATAAGGTTAGGTGTTAAAATATGAGCAGAAAACTCTAGTTTACAAATTGCTTTTTACCTGCCTAACTTATGTGGTATTCCTTCAGGAAGAGGCTGGTCCATACAGCGGTCCCTACTCTTTTCTTTGGGAAGCAGGAGATTCCAGCGTTGCTTCACAGGTCATACAAGAGATTCCTCGTCCTCTAAGGTTCTTCACCTCAGAGGGGAGACGAGAACCTCTTCCGTCTCTAAAGTCGGTCACTTCGAGGACCTAGGACAAGTAGTACCTCTCCATTCTTTGTTTCTTATGTGGTCGTTCTGCTAAAGATGTGAGAGACTCTGAAGCAGTTCATATAACTTACTTCAGTTTAATATTGAGAAAAGTCTTTCACAAGCTATCTCAATGGGCAAAAGAAATTAGCATGGCCTAGGGCTTCATACTTTTGTTTGAGCCTTGTGTTTTGTTTTTCTGCCCCACTTCTTGCATTGAATCTAAGCAAAAGCAGCATGCTTGATTTCGGCTATAATGAATGTTCAGTAAAAGCTTGGGCACAAGGAAGAGTCATATGATGGAATTTGCCATATTGGTAATGTAACCAGGCATTGAAGAGTTTCATTTTAAAGTGTACTTTGGTCAAGTCAAAAAAATGCAAATGTTTTTTTTTTTGGAATTCTGGAATTCTTGAAAGAATTTTCATCAAATATAGGCAAAGGTGAATATAAGCAAATAAGAGGTTTGTTTGGCATTTTTCACAAGTCTTTGATCATTTTGAATGTTGAAGTATGAATGAAAGACAGCAAGTGTAGAGGATAAAGGGTTGGACAAGAAATAGCAGTGGTGCTTTGCCAACCACGCTGCTTCTGACCTCGTATGTGTTCGATGTTTTATTCAGACCACATCAGGCGAGAGCACTCTTATTGCCGGATATTGGACGACGAAGAGGATGAATGTATCGAAGCCTTAGATGTCGTTGAAACGATCTTACCACTCGATGAATCCATGGATCTTGCATATTCGTGGTCGTCGAGCCTGAAGATGTCACCCGGAGGCTCGCCTGAGATGCCTTTAGGATCTCCTGAGTCATATATATTACCAGACTGAAAGTGATGCTGCAGACTGGGGATCATACATCTTTCTTCTGGAGGATGACTTCAAGTTCATCCCCTCGATTGAAGGAACCGGTACGAGTTCTTTCTACTCCTCGACTGTGTGTAAATTGCCTTCACCGTTGACCTCAAGCTAGCTGTAGACATATCTTCAGAGGCATCCTTAACTTCAGTTCCTAGATGATCGCATCGGTTGATATATGGCCCAGGTCAACCAATTAACAATGTTGGACTTGCCATTCAGTGACTTCAATCTCAACTATGGGCAAGGAGGATCATTCTGAGTAGATGTAAATGTGAACCTCCAAAACCCTACAGGGTTTTGCCAGGAATGCCCAGAAAGATGCCAGGAATAACTTTGTAGTATGTTTAAGGTTGAAAACAAACATGGAGCATTTCACCAGAGTCCTTGGTATTTGTGTGTTCATTACCCTTTGCCTCCTATTCTTGCAATGGAGAATTGAGATGAGGTGCAAATCTGCACCTTCTCCCATTTCTCTCATGCAAATTAGCATGGGCTGTACAGGGTGTTTGTATTGAAATGCAACATAGGGAATATTTTGCTGCCTGTAGGTGGAGGTCGACGAACACTATAAGGCCAGTGGGTTCCCTATCTGCAAGGAAACACACCAGGTGTTAGGTTTCATCCTTGCATATATGCAACCTGGGGAGCTATAAGGCATGCACTGAACTCCACAAGCAGACAGCAAAAATTTCCCTATGTTGTGTTTAAATATGAATACCCTGTGTATCTGTTTAACACTGAAGAGCTCATACTCAAACCAGAAGCAGTCCTTCATGGGCTTGGCTTGGTCCATATGTGAGATGCAGTAGCTATGGTTTTGGTATTTTTTTTTTCCCTCTCTTGCAACCCAGTGAAAGCATCAAATGTTAGGGGCATATGATGGAGAAAAATGGCACCAAGTGGTTGAAATTATGCAATTTTGAAACAGATGCATTGAAATATACAAGATTAATCCATGCTTGCAGTGCTTTCATGTTGATTACAGCTGAAGCTGAAAAAATATATTGGAGTTATCCATCCTTTTCTCAGAAGACTGTTAATTTTGGCACTAAGAATTTCTCTTCGTTCATGCTAGTTGACATTGGAAAATGACCTAATCTTGTTGTTATGACTGAATATAAGAAAACTCGCCTCTGCTCCTTGTTGTTGTCCTGCATTGGTTAAAAGTTGAATTGGGTTTCATTTCAATCTTGAGGAACTGATTAAGAGCTTTTCCATTGAGGAATATGGTCATACCTGGCACCATGAAACTAATAAAGAATAAATGATTCCTCTTGAGGAAATGGCTATTGTGCCTTTTCTCCCAAACGGTTGCTTGATCAGGTAATGTAGCCCAATCCACAGGGAAATCAGGATTTCTTCATTATTGAGGTCCTGTTACCCAAGATATAGTGGTTGGCATGCTTGCTTTTTGAACATACTCATTCTGGAACAGTTCTTGTATTTCATAGAACAGCTTGAAGTTCGTGTTCCTGGACCATGGAAGCTGAAAATTCCCAATTTTGTTTTTGCAGGTCTGAAGCTTGGGATGACATCATCACCTCATTTGTTGAATGCAGCCTGCCTGACAGGAGGACAATGGGCAATGAAGAAGGCAGCACTTCCCATTCATTATTGAAACAGAACCATGGTTAGAGAAATAGCAATTTCTTGATTGATTCTTATGAACTTAAGAACTGAAGTTGAATGACATGGTTCATCAAGGTTTCAAAACTTCATGTTAGTTCCAGTTTTTTTAATTATGGGGGAAAGACTTTTCTGTGATTTTTTTCACTATCCCGGTTCCCAATTTCTTGAATTCACACTTGAAGAATATTTTTTGTCCATGTCTTTTCTGACATTCTATGGAAATTCTATTGAACGTGATTCAATATTTCCTTGAAATAAATGTTTCCTTTACTATACAAGAAACGTTGGAAGTACTTCAATACCTATGCCGAAAAAAGAAAAGTAATTACTCAACAGAAGGAAAAGGAACGGATTTCTAGATCTATCAGATATTTCTAGCAAAATGGGATTCCAGAACTGCGACGAAGGTGGCGTGCTTGTGGAATCAGGGAAGTTGGCACGATAGCTGAGGAAGCAGACGACGTGAATGACGTCGGCCGAGTCCCAGCCCCATAGGATAAGTTCAAGTACCTCCACTGAAACACCTTAAAACGCTTCGCCCTCAATGGCCGTGGGGAAAAGCAGTGCGCCTTCACCTGGAGGTGCCCGGGTTCGAATCCTAGCCTCCCCTCCCTTGCATCCCCTTCCCTCTCTTTCCCCAGCCCCTCCGATCCCGATCCCTGACGTCCCCCCCCCCCCCCCCCCCCCTGGGGGGTGAGTCTAGTCTTTGGGCCCGTAAGGCCTCCAGTTGATACCCACGGCTTGCGAGGGGGATGTTTTGCACGTTCCACCCTCATTTTTGCACCCACGAGTGTCCTCTCCTGCCGTTTTCTCTTTCCAAGTAATTAAAGCGTCCGGGAATTGAGTAGCGAAAATAAAATTTATTCAAGAGCAAATTCGGGAACTTCGCAATCGCGCCAAAAGAGCGGGAAAATGTTTAAATGTCCCTTTCTCAGGCTGCCTCAAGTGGAATCACTACAAGGCAGTAAGGTATTACAGAAAAAGTACAATAAAAAAAAGGCCATCAGCATTTGTTTTCCACGCCCGTGTGACGCGACTGCGAAGTGAAACCACGCGAAAAAAAAGGGTGAAGCAGTGCACAATAACGATGGGAAATGAAGGCTTGAACCGGTCGCTTCTCTCGTCCGGCCCCGAGCGACGAGAAGGGGATGTCACATCCTCGCCTCACGAGTGCTAAGGAAGAGTCCGAAGGAAAATGCATCAGATGATCGAAGCTTCCCCTTTCGTGCTTTCGTCCATCAGGATTTCGCCATTTACGTAAGCAATTTCATACTTTTTTTAAGTATGAAATTGCTTACGGATTAAGAGGGGGCAAATACGGCTCTTGCCCGGGGCCCTGCTTTTCCAGAGGGACCCCGGAAGGAAATTTAAGTATTAGCGTTAAGTAGCAAGCTGTTAAAAATCAAAATGTCTTTGAGGAACGGCCAGGAATCCAGTCTGATAAATTGAAATTTTTCATCAGCGTAGCAGGATTTTCATCTTTCGTCGCATTTCGGCCGAAGTTCCCATGAAAATAAAGAGAAACGAGAAATAAAACGGGCAAATTTCTCTCCGGTAAGTTCCACTTTGAAACGGAACGGAACGTTCCCGCCCAATCTTCGGCTGGACCGAGCGAAACCAGGATGATAAATGCGGGAACTTGGGAAATGTGTCGCATCTTTCGTCCAGAAAATTTTTTTGTGACAATGAGAGCAAGGAGCAATTTTCTCGAATCCCTTAAAAACAAAAAACAAAAAAATTACCGCCAAACATGAGCAATATATATATTTAAACGTCAGCAAATGGATCACGCGTCTAAGCGCCATGTCGGTTTGCTTAAGTTTGCTTAAGCTCGAACAAGGATCAGAGAAAGCCAGTCGCGGCAAAATGAAGTCATTTCGAGGAATGCAAATCATGCGATTAATTCGATCATAAAAATAAAACCTTCCTTGTACGACAACTTTTCGCTCTCGTTCTCAACTTGAATTTCCGCCTTCGTCTGCGTTCCAAATTCCTGGAACAATTTTGGTCTGCGTCATTAGTTACACGAAATCGGCACCAAAACTTAGGATGGTATTCAAGATCAGCCGCTTTTCTGATTGGGAATTAAAATTCCCAGCTTGGCATTTAAAAAAAGGAAACTCTGCATTCCCAAACATCAGCAGCAGTTCAGCATCAATTCATAATTTGATCTCCAACTCGATGCCAATTGCGGATATCGCTCGTAACAGTCGGGAATTATACAGGAGTTCTCGGCGTTTCGGTCCTGCCCGGCAGCGACATCTTCTCGATCCGGAGAGAATTCCTCAAATCGCACCGCGTTCGGCTGCGAACCGCGTCCACGAAAGACTGCCGCGCATGCGCGTGACGCCAGCCGCCTGCCGCGCATGCGTTTGGCCTCTGCTTGTGTGTCGCGCTACGGTCTGGAGCATCGAGTGGGGTGCAACTGGAGGCAACACTGCGAGAATTAGGAGGGGGGAGGGGGGGGGGGGGGGATCCACTATTCCTTAGAAGCGAGTTCCGTTGTCAAGAACATTTCTGTGAGGCTTCGGGGAATCGGGATTCCCTGGATGGAATACGTTTGTTTCGTCGAGTCTGCTGCTTGGCCATCGAGGAAGTTACTCGCGCGTTTCTCGATAACTCGCTCGGTGGAGGATCGACGGAGATATTTACTTTGTAATCGTGGAAATGAATGAAATTCGATAAGTAACCCCAAGGAACGCGTTTTGCCTTTTCCCGACTGAGTACTTAAGTACTTTGGTACCGAAAATACTTTAGTACGATACGGAAACGTTCCAGGTTTTTCCCGAGGTGCCCTCTTCCTCAAAATGCAGTCGACCTAGCGAAAGCTTTTACGAAAAATCAGTATCCACGGCACCGCCGCCGACCGGATTCCCAAAGCGATCCGAAAATCCGACATCCTTGCTCAAACGGGATGCCGGATGTCGACGATGGACTTCGTTAAACTCGGCATCGGGGAACGCGAAGTCGAGAATCGGTTAATCGTTCGAAGAGTTTCGGGATTCGTCCGTGCCCGTTCCGTCCGATTCCGAAGGAATCTCTTCGCGGTTTGCGATGATGGGAAAATTAGAGTTGGGTTCCCAACAAGATGCTGGGAGAGATCTTTTTAATTTCGTTTCTTGCCAAGTCTTGATTAAATGTTCCTTAACGTAAAGGTTGCCGATGAACTTTATGAATATTGTCTCCACTCGTTTTACCTGCATGCGACATGGATGTATCATGGCAAGATTTTTCCTCATGAAGCCCAGCCCAAACTTAAAAAAATAGTCCTCACGGCTAATCGGCAAGTAAGGCAGGATTATCCCTGACCCGAAGACGTGTAAAAAGTGGAAGACGAGGCTTAAACTAGGCCTGAGCTGGTCGAGTCACGAGTTTACCTCGCCTAACTCCGTCTGCAAGGGGTTTGGAGGAGAAACGCAGTGGGGGCGTGCAGTCATGGTTGAATGCCGAACGCGAATGAGGCCGTCGGCTATATTTTCCACGTTTCAGAGCTCTGTTTCGTGAGGAAGGGAAACTCACAGGACGGGCAGGGCGGCGATGAAGGGAACCGGCGGATTCGGTGGGGAGAAAGACTCGATCGGCGTTGCGGGGTCGCCATCACTTGCTGCGGGGGCGGGGTCGCAGGGATGCCGGATCGTCTCGCCTGTTCGCCGATCCGAGAAACTCCTATGCTTTATTGAGCATGCTGCGGTTTTCAAGCGGGGCAGAGGGGTGCGACGGGGGGATACGGTGGGTCGGGGCTGGGGGGCGTCGAGACTCCGTTATCATCCGTGTGGTGGTTCTGAGGTCTGCCAGAAGGCGTTTTCTGGTTTTATGGTCGTTCCGACCGGATTCGCTTGGAAGAGCGGTCTTGCGACGTTTCGGATTAGGAATTTTTTGGAAAATCACAGGATTTTAAAAGATCGTGTCATCATCTTGAATATGTCCTCTTCGCTATGAAAGTCTCTCAGAAGAATGTTTGGAGTCGGAGCAAGGGCACTGTCATGAGTTCTCATTTTTCAGAAAAAATTATGTGCGGAATGCGCGTGTTCATTTTGATAATAAAAAAAAAAACCTTCCATGCTCTTCTGGCGCATGAAATCATGAAGTTCCCTTTCAACATAATACTCAAATTTGTTTTGTGACCTCCGTGGGCTCTTTCAGCTGTAGCAGCAGGGGTCTCACTAGATCTTCTCTGCATTTACTTCCCTTTTCCCAGAGAATCATTAAAATTATCCTTTCACCAGTCTTTTTCATATCTCATAAGCATGCTTCCACTCCCTTATAGGAAAAAAAAACTTTATGAGCTCATGGGCACAAAGTTCACCTTTAATATAATCAAATTTAATAGAACCAGATGATTTCTCATAGTTCCCTGAAGGGATACCCTCTTCACCAGAAATTTCAACATGTGTGCAACATGAATACATAAATTTACTCAAGATTACATAATTTACTCATACATAAATTTACTCACATACACCTCAATGGAACTTGCGAGTGCACCGCAGGGAAATCCTAGCTGATATGCATAGGACAAGACATGGAATAACGATCACAGGTATTGGAACAGCTTTTTCAAATGACTTATTGCAGTAGGTCTTTTCATTGATAAAAAAAAACATGGGGGAGCGCCAAGCTCATCTGTCTTTCTTGGTGTCACCTGCAGGGCCCCCACTAGGTGTCTCGTCGAAGGCCTCTTCGGGAAGGGTGGGAAGGGCGGTCGAGGACGAGGGCTTGGACGGGACGGTCGAGCCGGACTCCGAGGAAGGCTTCGAGACGGGTGGATCGGAGAGATGGAGGACCTCGACGACGCAGGACTTGGGGAACCAACCCTTGACGCGATAGCCGCCCTTATCCCGCCTTCCGACCACTTCTCCGTACAACCAGTGACTGGGAGAAAAATGGGAAAATCACAAGATTGATTCACTGAGGGATCCAAATAGTAGTTGATGTGCCCAAAAGCAGAGGCACAAACTTTACAGAGACAGATACCCCTTTGATCGTTCCACTCTCTCATATGATATAATGTGAATGTAAGCTGGTAAATACTGTACTTGCTGTTGAAAACATGTTCAGCTGTAAATAATGAATGAGAAGAAAAACAATGCAAAAAATATAGAGCAGATGTCCTTGATGGTTTTGGGGAACAGAGCACAGTGCTTAAGAGCAAATTTGGCTACCTGCAATATGAAACATGAACCATCAACAAGTTGGATTAGATCTGAAAGCAAAAATCTCAGTCTGAGTTGGAATCCAAACACAATCTAAACTGCTGAATCAACCCGATATACTCATTGACAGAGGAGCAAATATTCATAATAGCATAAAGTAATCAGTAAAAGTTTCTTGGACCTCAAAATATTTTTAAGAAAATAAGCCAAAGAAACCTTTCCAATTATCGAGACCCTTCTCTTTATAGCCTGACCTCATTCAATAGAGAAACACCTCTGAAGGTGAAGGACGAATGCAGTGGAGTGAGCATACCGTTTCCACCGAGAGATGCGAACGGTGTCGCCGACAATGAGTGGGGCACGGGGTTCGTCGGAGCACGGCTGACCCCAGCACGTCCTCAGTCCCTTCGACAAGGGGCACCAGGATCCTGAATAGGGGGCTACCACTCGTGTCTCCACGATGCGCTCCTTCTTGGCTGTCTTCTGGGCCACTTGTTCTGCCTGTGAAATAAATCATGCTTATAAGAATCATTAGGCAACATAATTATCCCTTCTATTGGCAAGGTCTGAAACAAACACTACATCTCTTGAAAAGTGAACAGGCATCCTGGTGTTCCAAAAATACTTTCCAGGGGCTTCTTTCACTATCAGCTAATCTACAGGTGGATCAAGAGTTCTTACAAGGCTTTCAAAGTTTTTTTCTCTATCAAGCCTTTAGCTTTTCATAAACAAATTGACCCATTGAAACGAGCACAAAAAAAAAGAAAAGTTTCCTTTTATGCTATATAGCCCCCATTTGCCTCTGCTACATGCTTGAGAGGCTTTGGAAATTCATCAACCACATTTCACAAGTATTCTTCAGGCATTACATCCCATATGCACTTCAAATTTTACTCCTTTATTTTTAGAAGATAAACCTCCTAAATATTGTGGACCTTCAAACTTATTAAAAGAAAGCAATTGGGAGACCAACAATACCGTCACAAAGTCTAACTACCATCTGAGGGAAAAGGTGCACAGTCATCAAGGAAGGACAGAGGATACAAAACAAAATAATGAGGATGACATTACGGTGAGAGTGAACTGGTCGCAATCTCCACGAATGGGCCAAGCGTAGCCCTTGCTCCAGAGGTCGGGCCCCCCAAAGACCGCAGACAGGTTTCTCCTCCAACCCAGGTGATATGGATATGTGAACTGCTTCCCATACAACACCTTGTGCCGGTGATTAGCCTTATCCATAATCCAATCCTCAATTGGTGTCCGGTTCCTCAGGATGGATTTAATCTACTCCCAAGAAAAAATAAAAGTTCAACAATCAACATTTTGCATTCCAATCAGCCTCATCTTCAAATGTATACTTATGCTAACAGAATTCCAATCTTACCATAAAGGAACTTTTCATAGCTGCTAGAAGTTGGCCTCAGTAGATGCTTACCATGTTTCTCTCTTTAGTGTTAAGGTTGTATTCAAGTGTGCAAAAAACCTTGAGGGTGGATTTTGAAACAGAGAACTATCAGATAATGCAGCTTTATTCCAGGGAAAATACATGATATTTCCAGGAAATAAAGCAGCATTATCAGATAGTTCTCGGTTCAAAAATTCACCCAAACAATTCATTACACCACTAATAATTATTTTATTACATCTTATGGAAAGAAAGCATGACAGCTAGCTCCTTACACCACGATTTCACTCTAAAGAATTCATGTCCATAGGCCTGAACTCAAGACTATTTAAAAAGGTATGTGGGATGGAATAGAGTATACTACTGGATGTAAGTTCCATCATCAGTCTTCCCTCATCCCTTCTACAGGAGTTAAAAAGGCATTATGACCTAGAAAAATTATTTCACTTCTAATGAAATAAACTTCACTTTGAACCTGGGCTTTCACAGCTTTACTACAACCTTTTACAAAAACACATTAACAGGAAAATATTGAGATACAAAATGAATAACATCTGCAATGGCATGCAACTCAGATTTTTCCAAGTAAATAAAAGCTGAAGGTAATAAAGTGGGCTCCCATTATTCAGAGGTGTATAACAATGAAGTATGTAAAAAATTATTCTGAATAAAGCCAGACAATGCAAAGGAACTCACATTAAAATGCTTTCTGTTACTTAGCTTACTTTATTGATGCTAATAGACCAAGTTATTCAACCAAAAACTATTTACAACTGGGAGTTTGCAAAGGGATGAACAGCCAAAAAATAATAACTTTTTAACATGACATTGTACTATCCAGAATATCAATTCCCTCCTCGTTCATCCCTAGAAACAGCTTCAAACAAGTTCAAGGATGTTGAAACATCGGTCAAATTTTAATCACAGATTTGCTAACCATCAATGAAGTTGACATTGGTAGGCTGCTGTGCTACTTATGGCAGTTTCAGGGTTATGGGAAGAATGTTCCTCCCAGGGTAGTTGAGATTTCCCACTTATTTTTTTTCCAAATGGTAAGAAAACATCATTACCACCAAAAGATTTTCCTAAAGCTACACTTTCTATTCACAGGTTCTTCCAGTTTTGAGATGAAAATGATTGATTGTTAAATTTATTTAATGAGAAATCCAAATGCAAGTGCCAAAAAAAAAATTGCACTTCATAAGAGCAACCAACTAACATCACTGAACCTGTAATGAAGGAAAGGTAAAAAATCTTCATGTACCCTGGGAAAAATTTCATTACCATTTTTTCTCAAACATAGAACGGTTCCGTTCAATGTTTTAGAAAGAATGTTTGTGTGTTCCTTACAAGCTGTTAAGTGTTTCAGCCTATTCATTACATATGTATATATTTTACAAGTCCATGCATTTGGCTCAAAAGAAAAAATATATTTAAATGTCAGAACTAGGCCAATAGGAAAGCATTAAATCCAGGAAAGGCTATGAGATGCAAAAGGAACCTCAAGAACCGAACCTGCAAGTACAAGAGGGACCCGACTGCAATGACGACCCCGATGCAGAAGCCGATGGCCAGACAACCAAATATGAACTCGTACGGCCCCATGATGACGAGAGGATGGTAGGTGTCCTCGTTGAACATGTACCATTGCTAGGATGAAAGATTTCGGTCCGACAAATACGACGGGGGAAGGACGAACGAGAAGAAATCGCGAGGAAGGGACGTACGACGTGGAAGGCTCTATATAGAGAGACGGAGATGACGATGGCTGCGTGGAGACAGCCTACGATGGCAAAGAAGAGGAAGAGAGTGAAGTTGGCATGGTTTAAATGCCCCACACAATTGTTGATCCATGGGCAGTGGTGGTCCATCTTCATCACGCAACGATTGCCTGTAGAACGACCAAGAGAAATCATCATTAGTATCAGCTACAGACACATCTGCTTTTCCTTCTGTGAAGAAAGCTTTCTACTTGAGGATATCATGGGACCTACAAGGCATCAATAGCTGTCAGTAATATGGGTCATAATGAAAACCTATCTGGGCCTAATTGAATAAAATAAAAAATAGTTTTATTCAAAACCATGGCACTGGGAGTGGCCTTTATATTCTATGTTCTTTCTTTATATTCTATTTAGAGTTCAAGCAGATACTTAGTCTCACATCGTCTGCAGTGATGGGCCCTAGGAGCCTTGTATCCTTCGCAGATCTCACAGTACTGAAGAACGCTGTCGACCGGACGACCCTGAGTGAACAGTTCCACGTTTTCTTCCTTTTCTTTCTCCTCGCTCTGGGAATCCTCGTCCGAAGCTTCCTCCTCTTCGCTATCCGTCTCCAGATCCGACTCGTCGACGCCGGCAAAACGATTTGCCTCCGAGTTGAACTCCGAATCCTGATGGGGAAGAAAATTGTGACCTAAATATTTCAGAAGAGACTGGTGCACATTACAGCCAAGATTCTCTCATCTCACACCGACCGGCTTCCAGCCCTTCTTCACGTAACCCGGGCCGATGAACACGGAGCAGAGGTAGTTGTAGAGTACGAGGCCATTCCAGGAGAGGAAAACAAGGAAATGAAGTAAAGCAAACGGGGATTCGGCCGGTGGGCACCATTTCAGCAGGCAACGTACTCCAATGAGAGTGATGTATTTGATGATGACTGGAAGGAGAACCAAATCATACCTTAGTCTAAGCCTGAAAAACATCTACAGGATGAGAATATTAAGCATATGTCAATTAAAACCAACGTGGGCTAGAATAGTAGCCTATGCAATTATAAGTTAGGTAAGCTTTGTGCTAAAGTAATACCATGATAATTACAAGAAAGGGGGAAATGATGGAGGGGGGCTCTGTCAAAAAGCATGCAGAATGCATGCAGTTGGTTGTGGATACAGTTGAGAAATGAAGCTCATCAAATATTTGATGCAGCTTCAAGATATGGATGAAAAGCACCATCACTCTACTGGACACCCTATTTGATTTTAGATGGTTCTCTTCTTTAGCAAAGCCTCTCTGATGAAGCTGGGAAGCAAAACCCACCTGTGGCAAATGCAAGAAACTCAACTTAAGTGATTTATTAACAACCCAATAACTTAATTCGATATTTAGGTCCTGGATCGACATTGCCGTCTTGGCTACGTTAAAAGGGAGCGGCACAGTTCTACGCCCCAGTTTCTACTGAAGCGAGGACCAAGCTGGCCCGACTAAAGCACAAAGCCCGAAGCAAAAACCTGAATTCAGATATTCTCAGGAAATGAACTTACACAGCGCAATGAGAGGTCCCCAATGACAGATCCTGCAGCAGCCACCAAAACACATGGCTTCAGAGTCGTCCTGAAGCCAACAGAACTGAAGAGAGCAATCTCTTCGAAATTTACTCAATCGATATGGCGTCCGAGACTCTCCCCCACGCGTCGTGCACAACCCACATAAATTAAGGAAGCCTGCCAGCGGGTTGACTCGAGTCGACTACCGGGACGAAGGGGGAGCGCCATCTTCGTTTATTCGAGTCTCTCCAGTGACACCTTCCGGAAGGCATAAGAACCATCAAGTTCGCCACTGTAATCATAGAGGGAAGGACATCCGAACTTCATCACTTTCGTGTCTGGATCAGTGCATTTCTTGAACTCGCTTGGGAAGTGAACGTCCGCTAGAGCGACATCCGTATCAGGCTCAAGTGAGTTGGACATTTTCGCATTAGAACATCCAATCTTTCTTTAAGTTAGCCCAAGCCTAAGAAAATGTTCACGACGATATACTCAGACACGGAAAGGGTTGGTGGCTGAGGCAACGAGAGGCCGAATGGTGCTCGGCGTGATGACGAGACGTGAGCGATCGTCCGAGGCAAAGCAGGACCAAACTAATGATTTCGGATCGGTTTGGTTGTCGTTTTCAGTTCATTTCTCTGCTTGTCGATTTAAGGGACGATTGCCTCTTGCATTCGGTCGAATCGGTATTGGAAACTGCTCGCCAAGAATCATTTCTAAAGATAGTTCCGAGAGGCGAATGATCCTCGAACGGAAAATTTCCTCCTCGTGTTTTCTTCGAGCTTGAAGGAAAAAATGGTTGGGTCCATGTTGAAAACGGCGAGTGGAACAAGGTAGGCCTTCTCTTCGATTGCTACGAACCGTCGAGTTTCCAGGTGTTTTTTTTTGCTTTTATTTTTCAAGTGGTTTTGCGTTTTGAGGAGTAAAAGTCGTGAGTGGGAGGGAAGTCGGGCCACCCCCACCAAGAGGGAAACCAACTTCCGCCTTTAAACTCGAAATATCCCTCCTTGTCGGAACGGGATGGATGACTCGTAGGAGAGGAGCGGAGGAGGATCCCCACAGCGCCCCAAAGCGAGTAGGAGAGGAGGAGGAGGAGGGCGGCGAAGGAGGTGATGGCGAGCGTTCTCCACAGTCGCGTTTCTCGCTCTGCGTTTGCGAGGTGGAGAGAAGCGAGGGCGAGGGAATCGTCCGGCGGAGAGCGAGTCGAGTTCCCTTCTCTTCTCTCTCTTCCGATCTTCGTTTCGTTTGCTTCTGTGCGTGTCGCTTGCAGTCGCGTTCTCGACGAGGTGCGGTCCCCGCCCCCTCGATGCCGCGTCTCCCCGTCCTCGGGAAAGAGGGAATCGGACGACCCGAACCGACGACGAAATCTGACGGAGGGGGAAAATGCTCTTTGCTCTCCGATCGTCCGATCGGGCCCGAGAGCGTTCGCGACGACTCCGTTCTCTTCCGTTCCTTCTTCGTCCCGGATCGGACGCGAACCCTCGACGAACACGGGGACGACGACTCGATCTACGAGACCGGAGTCAGAGCCCAGCAGCTCAGCCGCGAACGCCAGCCGACACGGCGCCATCTCGGGCGAATCGAGGAAAACTCGGACGAGTCTTCGCTCCCCGGCTCCCAGCCGACACACGGCCGGCGCCGCCCTCACCCCGCACTCCCTGCCCGCCCTCACCCTCACTTCGATCCTTCGGCCGGAATCCGCCCTGCACCGGACCAGTGCCTCGGACGTGTAGGCGTCGTGGCGAGGGTCGTAGAAGAACTCGAGGGCGTCACCCGGTTCCACTTCCAACAGCTTCCCCGTCCGAGTGGAAATTCTCCGTCCACGCGCCGCCTCGCCCTCGAACGACATTTTTCTCCAGATTTTCCTTCTCTTTTCGGGGAATCCGTTTCCAGGCGACGCTCCGAACCAGAACCGTGCCAAGACTGCAGAGAACGACCCCCCTTTATAGCAATAGATCCTCGCGCCCTCGTACCCGATCGCCAGTGTTGCTCGATTCCGAACTCCCAACTAACGACAAACATCGGAATTCCGAAAACTCAGAAATTCCCCGAAAAAGACATGCTCCTCATTTTCCATGCATCGCGAATCGTCAGACCTGCACTCCTACTCCACCTTTTAAGCGTATTCACTCTTAACCAACACGGCTTCCTACCATTTTGCTTCCATAGCTCCAACGGACTTTTAATTCCAGCAGCCAACCATTCTTGAGGAGTAGCTCTCAGGCACTAAATCACGACTCATTCAAGGTCAGTCCTTCACCCATATCTCTTTCCATGCAGGCAGTTCTGAAATTTTGCGCAGAGAAGGGACAAATCTGAACTATGAGGCGGGTGGAGCTCAAGCCCCAGCCAAGGTCATGGGTTGCCTCTGCGGGTTGCCTTCATGGGTTGCCTCCACAACCCAGGTAACACATGACATTGAAACAACGCTGAATGTGGAACGAATGTGCAAATGTTGATGATTGAAGATGAACATTGAATCGATGTTTTTTCAATGTTCGGTGTTACCAAGGTATTGCAGCAGAGGAACGACCATAATGAAGTACTAAGAGTCCTCACTAGATGCTATCCATGTTCCCCTGTAGCCGCAATATGCAATAACGGATCTGTCATCCTGCATTAAAGCGTTTTCTACCCCCTTCATCTTTTTTTTTACGTAATTAATGAGCATTTATATGAGAGAAATGGCTTTGATTGCAGAATCTGATTCTGAAACAAATAAAATGTCCAAGTTTAGCATGGGCATTAATAAGTCTATGGGATTAGAGACATGTAGAATAAGTGGAACAACAATTAACAGCGATGCCATTCGCAAATCACCCGAAGGAGAGGCCAAGGGGATTTGTTCTCATTCTCCAGCCCATGCCAGCCCTCAAATGTTCCAGTGCCATTTGCTAGAACGTAGGAGGGCACGTCCCTTTCAGTACTCCACCCTCTGGATCTGTAGGGAATGAACTGGATTTACTCATCTTAGTACCCTTCCGAGGGAAGAAGGAGACTCACCCCTCGGGCGGACTGCATGGTCGTAGCCTCGTCGCTTCAGAGCGGCACTCCGAGAGGAAAATGACCGGCTCGAAGGGACGAGAAGGACGAGACCGAGCTCGCCGTTCGCACAGGCGGTGAGTCACTTGCGTCCCCACGACTCTGTAAAAAATTGCTTCCCATCGAACGAAGGACAAGCCAACCCTGTTTCTCGTTCCCTCGGAACAGGCATCGTTGGAATGCAGACGGCAAAGTTGGGGATTCGAGCAACTAGAGCAACTACAGAGGCTTTATTTGACCATTTTTTGATCCAGAATATTATACCTTTTTACCACTTCTTTCGGCAACTATCATATTCCATTTCGCGCCCTTCATTCTGAAGAATAGCCCTGCGCCCTTCTTTTCATAGTACCAGAGCTTTACGGAGCACAGGGATATATAACTACTCCTGTTCCTCACTGATAACTTTGCGGCGCCGATCCACAAGGGCACGCTTCAGGAATCCAAACGCAAAGAAATCCAAACCCTGTTTGGATGACTAAAAACCCTGTTTTTGGATGTAAATAGACTGGGTTTCTCTGCTGACAGAAAGGTACAACCAAGTTTAATCGAGCGTCAAATTGTACAAGCACCTTTCACCGGCCACGTGGCGCTACGATGAACATAACGAATAGCTTTCGACAGAAGCTTTTTGTTTCGTACCGGTAATGCGTTAGGCTTTATGCCTTAAATTCACGCCTTTCTTCGTTTCCCGCCTCTTTCCATCGCGAACGATGACATTCAAAACTTTTGCCTTGGGAACGCGGCATCCTTTCGCGAAATGCGTACGAATCGTCACTCTGTGCGTGTAACTTTTCACGGAAAGACGATTCACACGCACGTCTCCGCGACACGGTCGACACGCCTCATCAAACGCCAACTCAATAGTCCCTTATTTTCCATGCCGAAAATGGACATCTTGCCCAACAATTACGAGTCACACGAAAGCTACTCATCCTTTTCCCATTCTCACTCAAAATGGACCTGTGTACACGTATTGGGAACTATACTATGTTCATTTTCGAACTAAGTTTGACTAAAAGATAAGGAATTTAGAGAATGTTGTAAAAAATTACTTTCGGCGATCGACTTCAAAACAATATTTTATTGAATGAGGCAATTGAGTGAAACACTTGGGATCGGGAAAGGGGTGCTCAAAACAGTACGGACCGGAATTCATGTATTCATGGAATGACGAGCTAAGGGACTCGTTTTACTTCGTTGGTCTGCATTCATGGGGTCGGTTCTGTCGTTGAGTACTTACAGCTTCCAAAAATATTTTCAGCATACGCTCGTGCGAATCGCACAGATGATCGACTCCCAGACCAATATCATACCTAGGGTAACCACATAATTGAGGGGAACGATTGAAAAAGGTCCTTAAAAGTACGCATCATCTTAGAGTGCAGATGTTGCTAAGGACACAGAAACTTCACCGACGAAGGACTTGCATTTCACTCGTCTCCCATGAGGCCACTCATCCCATTGAGACTCCACACAGCCGCACACCTTCCGAGTTTCGACGGTCGAGGTCATCGGCAGGCATGGAGATGACGTTTGCGCCAAATATTCTGGATGACATTCTCCCTTTTCCACGTAAAGAAACAAATTCAATTGGCCTCTAGGATATCTATTCTGAGAGGTACAAGTGTGCTTATGAACAAGCTTTCTTCATCACGATTACTTTGAAACGTTGCTTGCACACAGATTGACCCGTTGTACTATGAAAACCCCACTTACTGCTGATATCGAAACGAATTACTCGGCAAGAATCCATCGATACCCACTAGATGGAAATCCCTTGTTTTTGCGACGAGTGTCCGATCACTAGGAAAAGAACCACAACCGCAGAATGCGAAACCTTCGAAAGTACTGGACAAGAAAAGACACGTACCGAGGGATCTTGGGTGAAGAGGAAACGCACAGATTTTGGAGTTCGTGCGTGAGCATGAGCGTGAACGTGAGTCTAGAGAGTGGGAATTTAATGTGGAGGTGCTGCTTTTCATGACGAATTCCGACATAATTTATGAG